GAGAAGCAAACTGATATGAAGATTACATAATCTTCCAATTGAAGTATATTACTGAGTTAAAAATCAACAACAATTTTCGGGTCTTCTTTTATTAAAACAAAATCGACCTACTTATTTACCTTTAGATGAGTCTTTTAATTCAAAACATATAGGTATGTATAGTTTTGATATAACGTTTTATACCACTTACGCGATGTAACCATATAGAAATATTGAATTATTCCTAAAACAAGCGAATCCCGTAACTCCGCAATCCCGTAATCCCGTAACCCTAATTCTTTCGCTTGCGATTCGATATTTTGAAATGAAGGCCAAAAAATATTGAGACATTTATTAGAAATACGCACGGAGTGTGAAGAAGTTATCGTTTATTTTTTGCCTCGGTCGGTATGAAAACACCAATTCAAAATCTTGTGTGAATACACGTAATACAAAGGTTGGAAGGATAAGTAATATAAAATGCACCTGAATATGTCCCCATTTTTGGTTCTTGGACCAATAGAATCACATCGCTGGTTGATAAATTATATAATGAACTCCAGATAATAAAAGTATTATAAAAGTCACATTTTATTTACAATTTATCTAAAATCACTAATTTCTTATTGAATTTTGATTCGAAATTCTATCTAGAATCTATTTAAAGCCTATCAGAAACTTCAAATACCTTAAATACTAAAAAAACTATTAGAATTAATAAAAAGCAAGTAAAAGCTTCAAAGATTGAATTTTGGAGAGGAACAGCTCAATATCTATTCGAATCACTTAAAGCATAAAAACAGACAACCTTCGTAGTTAGCTAATTCTCGAATATCGATCGCGCATGGATCGATATGGAGAACCATGAGAGTGCTTTGCTAAGCAATAGTCCCCTGAAAGGCTCAAATAAACGTTTTTGCTTCGTTCCCTATGGTGGCCACTGACCAGAAGCTTCCCGGTAAAATTCATGAGTGAATAAGATTTGCGCATTCATCCTGACAATTGTTCTTTACAATTAAGCGAGGTGTAATGCGCAGATCGCTATGTTATTGTGCCAGGGCTTTCCCCATCTCCAACACCTTGGGTGGTCTAATTCTGAAAATAGGACATCCACCGAAACTTTTGCTGCACGCATGCTTAATGTATCGAAGATTAATCGAAAACAGAACTTCCTTCACACTGTAGACAGCAAAAGAGGAAGCCTGAGATGCGAGATTTCCTGCCCGTATCGCCTAAATCATACGAGTATCAAAAAACGGTAATCGCCTACACTTCTCCACTCATACGGGCCCGTCAATCTTTCTTCCATGCGGCAGTGGGAACCTCATATCCCTGGATCCCCACCTTCCCAAATAAACACGGACATCCCTCTAAATCGGTGGGATGGCCCGCCCCAGAACGGTGTGGCGTTACCTGTATCATCCAATTGGTGTGAAAACAGAAGGATTCACCAATCCTTGAATTAGCTGATACAAATGCTTTGAAGAAATCAATATGGGCTGTTGAACTTGCATGATTTATTGGATAGATATCGTTAGATGGTTGGTTGTTATTGGGTTAAGGTTGTAAATCGTCCGCTGACTTCATATATTTAAGTTTTCGACTACATCCGTATTTCGGATGAAGATGAGAAAAGAACATGGGGAGAGTTTGAAACGATAGCTTTATAGGTCTGGACTTGGTTTTTATATGAAGTAATAATACACAGGTACGGCTCGTTAGCAAGAACTGAATTGGGAATAATTTCAGGGCACAAATAGAGTGGGTAATGCAATGCTGGATTGATCGTAGTTTGCATCTACCTTGCATCATGCATTGATCTTATCTTGATATCCATTGTGCAAAAGTTCGTTCTCTTGTCTTAGAACCATATCTTTGCGACTTCAATTCCTTCATTCCATGCGTATTCTCGACTCGTGAAATTGAGCTGCGCGGGTTCCAGCTTTCCATCTCATTGTCAACATAGTCGCCCTTGAATTTTCCTTGTTAGTCATCATGACCCCAGAGATTCAGAAGGACGGAGAAGTGATATTTGCAAGTCGAGAATCAGGTGGCGCTGCTTCGAACAGTCAAGATGTTGAGAAGGAGGATTTCGAAGATGAGATTCCAGGTCAGGTCGCAAAGAAATGGCGTGGAACGAGAGCCGATCAACAGGACATGGCGGTGTTAGGAAAGAAGCAGGTTCTACGTGTAGGCTCCGCCATTATCAATGGGTAGAATGAGTAATGGCTGACTGGATTCCATATAGCGAAACTTTAAATTTATAACGATGCTGGGATTTGCTAGTACAGCTATGGCGTCTTGGGAACTTTTACTTCCCCTCTTCACATTCGTCTTGGTTGATGGAGGGACGGCCGATCTGTTTTGGGGTTTCATTGTTGCTGCTTGTGGCATGTCTTTGGTATATGCTAGTATTGCTGAAATGGCTTCTATGTGCGTGCCATCATACCTAAACTCTGAATTCAGCTCATTCTCGTTCTGGTAACTAACGTGTCGAGAATATAGATCGCCAACGGCAGGTGGACAATACCATTGGGTCTCAGAATTTGCTCCTCCCAGGATACAGAGGCTACTCAGTTACATCGTGGGCTGGCTTTCTGCTATTGGATGGCAAGTATATCTTGCGGGTGTCTGCTTTATGATCGGTGGGATTCTTCAAGGTCTCATTGCCCTCAATAAAGCCGACTATGTCTACGAGCGATTCCACGCGACTTTGCTCGCCATCGGAGTTGTATCGTTTTCCGTTGTGTTCAACACTTCCTTAGCCGAACGTCTACCATTGATTGAGGGTATCGTCTTGATTCTTCACTTGATCGGTTTCTTCGTTATTATCATTCCGTTATGGGTCATGGGACCTCGTGGCGATCCAAATACTGTTCTTTTGAACTTTACCAACGATGGCGGATGGTCTTCCAAGGGATTGGCAGCCATGATCGGACTGGTCAGTCCAATGAGTGTGTTGATTGGTTATGACTGCTCTGTGCATTTATGTAAGTTTTCACCATTGAGAGACATCGTCTGGATAGAATACTAACATACTATGTGTGTAGCCGAAGAGATTCAAGACGCATCCTGGGTAGTTCCGAGAGCCATCATGTGGTCAGTAGGACCCAACGCTACTATGGGATTCCTTATGGCAGTGACTTTAATCTTCACCCTCGGGGATCTCGACGCCGTTCTTGAAACTGTGACTGGCCAGCCTTTCATGCAAGTATTTTTCAATGCAACGCAGAGCTACGCCGCCACAAACGTTATGTGTATGGTCGTAGTTATCCTCCTATTATCTTGCTGTATTAGTGAAGTGGCTGCCGCCTCACGCCAGATTTGGTCATTTGCTCGAGACGGAGGATTGCCAGGTTCGCTTTGGTTGTCCCAAGTGTCGCCCGGTTGGAACATTCCACTTCGCAGTGTCTGCGTTTCAATCGCCGTCTCATCCCTACTCTCACTCATCAACCTTGGATCATCCGTTGCCCTCAACGCAATAAATTCTCTTGGCGGTGTTTCAATTTTATGTTCTTACTTCATCACAATCAGCTGTTTGGTCTGGCGCCGTTTACAAGGTCCCCTTCCTCCACATCGATGGTCTCTCGGCAAATACGGCATGGCTATCAACATTGCTTCTTTGTGTTTCTTAGCACCCATTACGTTCTTCTCGTTTTGGCCTCTCCAAACACCCGTCACCGCCCAAAATATGAATTGGTCGAGTGTGATGTTCGTAGCCACGTTATCTGTAGCGTTGATTTATTATTATTTTAAGGCAAGGCACGTATATACCGCACCTGTGCTTGCGATGAAGAGACGGGAATAAATGATGCATATGAAACTCATCCGGCGTTATTGGACTAAAAGGTTCACCAGTTTATTAGAAGCATCCATTTGATGCAAAGAAAAATATACAAATCTTCATTCAGACGTTTAAAACAATTCAAACAGTAAATATGCGTGTTCTCGGCCAATCCCAGGTATTTGGTGTTGAAAGATTGGAAATTGCACCTGGGATATGCTATCTATGTTAGTATCCAATTGAAGGACTCTATTATTCACTGTATTTAGTAAGAAGTATACGGTCTTTAACATACTACTCACATATCCGATATCAATGAAGCCATGATCAAGCTCCAAGGAACAACCTATCGCGTCAAGAATGCACACAAAAATTATCGATGTGCAATGCGGGGATATCCACTTCAATGAATTATGATCATCATCATTTCGAAGCATAACTTATGGGACCGAACTCGAGCCGAACAAACTTAAGTTTTCAATTGAAGATCATCGACACCCGTGGACCGTCATGTTTAAATCGAAAGAGATGTTGCAGGGATTTTGAAGCAATGGACACTACACTTAGCATCCTCTCGCAAGCACATCACCTCGGTGTGGACGATGTGGACGATGTGGACGAAATATATGGGACACCAAAATCAAAACAAAATTGTTTTTTTTTTTTTTTAAAAATAATTAAACAATTAATCAACAAATTAATATCCTCCTTTGAAATTTGGATGGAAATATATGCAAGTTGAGACTTAACCGAGAATTCCAATCTTATCAGATCATGTACCAAATTGATATCGTAATATAGCATCGAAAAGCAGGTGTTGTGGAAGATTCTATGATGTTGGTGGGGGTGCCCCTCTTTTCCGGCCACACCGACATCACGTAAAGCTGAGACATTATATAGAAGATCTTCTCCTTACTGTGTCCTGCAAAAAACGTATACTGCATAATCCACAACGTAGATAACAGACACAGTTTGCTATTACACGAGAAATGGAGGATCGATTAGAAGTGAGATCGACGTCTCAGGGGCCCAAGTCAGAAACCGAGGTAGCTCAAGCCTCAAGGGATTCTTACTCTCCGAGGCGGCGTAATGAATAAACCCATGCAACGATACAATCATGTCCGAGTCATTTGACGACGGATTTGTGACCAGACATGACAACAGTGATGATCCTGATAGGGGAAACTTCGTCGCCCAAAGAAGCAGGGACGTAATAATGCTGACATTTGATGGGATACTTCCACCACATCATCCACCACATCATCCACCACATCATCCACCATATCATTCGTACATGACTCCGAAATTAGGACTTTTTATCTCGCACAAAGACGATAAGCAGTTTTGCTTTGAAGCATGCTGTAAATGATTGCGTAGACGTAATCCAGGCCCAACTTGGGATTATCTTCACTAAGTGTAAACCAATTCGAGATATCTTGCTCCCATGAGGACGTTCCAGCGTATAGCCATATCTCTCAACCTCAATTCGTCTTTTTATCTTCAATATTCACTTTCTCCGTCTTTCCAATCGTTGGGCTATTGATGGTTAGCCAATATCCACGGACTCGTTCCAAAGGTTGAAGAAAGGTCACTTACACAGCACTTATAATTGGCTTTTCTTCATGCCCATGAGTGGTCTCGTTCATCTCACTCCTTTCAAGCAGCATCAATACCCATGGCATCCCCTCGAATAGTATCAATGATAACATCCCTAGCCCCGCGCCAAGTAAATTCGTCTCCCAAATCCATTCTTTGTATCCCTCTTCCCATAACACGAAACCCCCCACTAATTCCGCTATCACCATAAAGAATCCAGCGACCAGACCAATCGCGATCCTAAATCCTGGCACGCGCGGTATTTCATAATATACAATCACAGTCCTCGCCCACAACGCCACTGTAAGGATATATATTGGAAAGGCGATAAGTTCTCTGGCTGGAGCCGTGAGATGGTTATATGGCATGACTCGATTCAGAAAAATGAACGATGAGAAGAGAGACGATAGATATGTGAGGATAAAATATATGAATGCGATGCGGACAATAAAGAATGCCAGGGCGAGATCCCATAGCAGTTCAAAAACTGAGGTATCTGTTTCAAATAATATCATTTTATACTTTCTTCGTAGTTTGTAGGATGGTATGTGGCTTTTCGATGTTTGGATTGACTGCAGTGATGATAGTCGTTGTCGCTGATGCTTCAATTGTGGTTTGATAGATGCAGGAAGAAGATTTGACTATGGTTTAGCATTCTTGAAAATGATATAGCTTTGTTCTTATATCTTGAGCACAAAGATCTGCCTCCCAATTCCTACCTTCTATAGTCCTCACCTGTTTCTTTGCGTCTCTACTTACCTGCAACAGGTGGTCTGATTTGTGGTGAGACAAGTAACCAGTTTTATCTGTTTACCCATTCTGCCGATGCCGAGGTATGCATCCATCTTATGAATGCGCGAAAGGTCAGAGGAGGTGAGTTTGGATATGTACCTATTCTTTCGATAGGGAAATACATCGGACTTGATGAAGTCGTTGCCAGACTTGAGGTTGATTGTTGTAGGGTCGAAGGTAAACAATTGATGTTCATTGAAGCTCGGAGGCCAAGATTCTGCAACGGCCGCTAGCTCTGCAAGCCGCCAGCCACACATGTCTTGGATTCAAAGCAACCGTTCCTTCTCCCAACCACAAACATTCAAGAATACTAGGTATATCCAACCACAAACGACTATTATTGAGTTGAGAATTCTCGATTTTGTTTGCTAACACCTGCTCATTCTTTCTGTGAGGTCTTTCTTGCAATAATAGCAACTTATCATATCATCTCGTCACAAGTGTGATAAAATATATACTTTATCCCTCTGAGGTCTCCCATTCTCTTGTGCTGCTTCATGATTTTAAAATTCAGCTGAGGATGGCATATAGTTTATGGTAGAGTTGGGCTCCTCATGAGGTATGATTATAGTTGAAGCTTGAAGGCAGAGGCCTATCTTGATCACTTTTGACCTGGTCGACTGGTCCTCCCTTTCTTGCAAATCCGCACTCCTGATAGAGAAGTCGCCCACGAATCTTTCATTCGACCAAGTACCAATACTTCAATGGGATGCAAGACCTGATCGCTCTCATATCTAAACGGGCTGTCATCTCGAGAGCTTTTGAAATATACTAGGTGCTGCGTACAAGATATGGCTACAGATGTGTTTCATCCAAGCAGATTTGCAGCCCAGATTGTTTTTCAGGCCATTCTAGTTTAATAGTAAGTACCGAAATTTCAAAGTCTCATCGCACTTTCCTCTGATACGCAATCGTATTACATCACTATGGCTACCATGTTGAGACCTTCCCATATCGACCTTCCTTCACATTCATGGTCTTCATACTCATAGATACCTTCAATTCGTGTTTAAACCTCTCTTCTCATTCAACATCTTCACATCGAAAACACGTCTACAAGCAATCAACCTTCACTATTGATTCACCTAGTTACATTGACCGATCGAATATTCATCTTATAACGGAAACATGGCTATCAATGTAGAAACTCTCGAAGATCTCCGAAAAGAGATCGAACAACTACGCTCCCAGCAACCTTCATTAAATTCCCACGAAATCTGGGAACATCTAGCCAAAAATTTGGACAGGCAGAAACCACTGGAAGAAATTACGGTGGAAACTTGTCTGGTAGCGTATTTCGATTACCCTGAGGAAGAGACTGTCAAAATAAAGGCCAGGAAAGCCAAATCTGAATATCTAGAGGGCGAGAATAAAGTTCTCATGGAATTACTTAAGACTAAATCCACTAGCACCAAACCTATACTGCCGGTTACAAAAAATACACAGTCTGAGTCCGAAGATATACAGTCTGACTCCAACGATACACAGTCTGAATCAGAAGATATACAGTCTGAATCTAAAGAGATACAACCCGGTGCTGAAGATACAGAATTGGGTTCCAGACCTACACCGTTGGAGATCGAACGGTTTGTTACAACACGCGGAAATATGGTTCTCCAACTACTTAAAGATATGAATCCTGGACGAACATATGAGACTTTAAACCACAAATTATTGTTTCGACGCATTGCCGGGCTACGCTCAGGGAATCCTAAATTGACCCCTCGTCAAATTTGGCGACGTCTTAACGAGGAGCTGGATAGTCAGAATTCATTGGAAGAAGTCGTTGTAGAGGCTTGGATGGTAGTGGGGTTTGATTATCCTTTAGAGAAAACAGTTCAAATGAAGGCTCATGAGAGCCAGGTGCGGCAGAGCGAAAGAGATCGAGTGGAAAAGGAACTAGCTGCTTCTGCATTTATTAAAAGTAAGCCATCATTCATGGAAGACACGGTCTGATCTTCAAGATGCACATTTTGACTTGCTAACCGGGATTACAGTGTGGTACGAGTATCTCATGTCCAATCCTAACTTTAAAAAAAGAGTCGAGGATTTAGATAGAGGAGTTCTTAGAGAGATCCATGACCTGTGGTCTCAAAACCCTGATTCAAGCTCTCGTTGGATCTGGGGAGAGCTGAATAAAACCCCAAATGGACTGATGCCATTGAAAGAAATAGTTGTGGAGGCTTGTTTGGTAGCAAATGGGTATTCTTTGGCAAACACTATCCAGTTGAAGAATGAAGAAAACCGGTGGTGGAAGGAAACCGAAATTCTACGATATGATACCCAAGATAGCACTTTTCTAGCCTCGAAATTAGGTGAAGGAATGGAGTCTATAGTGCTAATCAACAACAAGCTGAACCTTAGAAAGGTTGTTCAAGATATCAAAGAGCTACGGCTTAGTCAACCTACATTAAGTCCTCGTCAGATCTGGGTCGATCTCGACAAACCAAACTATTGGCCGGCACCATTGCTAGAAATCGCGGTGGAAGCCTGCTTGATCAAATTTTTTGGTGTTCGTCCTGAAGATACCACACAACTTGAAACGTTAGATTATGACGAAGTGCCTGGGAAGAGGTTCCTCGATAGGATCCTGGATTATTGTTTTGGCTCGCATAAGCTCGGAAACATTAGCTGTGCATGCTGTGGCTCTGCAAAAATCGTAGAGAAGTGTGAAATCGAACATTTTCGAAAGAATGGAAGAGTGAAGGTGGACCCTAAGAACACTCGAGCAGTTGGCTTATTAAGGATTATGCTCGATACAAAACACACTATCAAGAGCTTCTTACCAATAAACACACCCACCGCGTTGGCTATTATGCCATATCGCGAGATGAACGCTAGTCAACGAGTTTACGCCCTTTTTTATGCAGAGTGGGATGCATGGATGGGACCATCACGTCCAATCCATCCTCCAGTTGATTATGTCGCAGGTGCTGAGAGAACTGCTATTCTTGATTCGGAAAACTATCTTGATTGTGTAGATGAACTTCCAACATGGACTCCAGAAAACACTGAGAGTTTTGAGGTACATGTACAATGCGCATTAATAAGTCCATGTTGGGGATACCGCGGTTCACTTGAATGGCTGATGTACGTTTTAAAACGAACACGAGACCCAGAAACCATCAAAATGGTTAATAGTGTGAGTCATCTTAGAACCTGTTTTGTCTTTATATTTTTCATCGGATACTAACTATCCCGTAGGTCGTCGCCGGATTCTACGGCCTGAAAATGTATCATATGGGAGGTGGCTTTATCGAATATCACAACTGGCATAATGATTGGTTCCATTCCTTTCGAGTTTCCCATGGAATCGTTGCATTTGTGAGAGAGAAAGAGAATTCTCCAGAGGTCATGTGGGCGGAGAGAGATGAAGAGGGGAAGTATACATCACATTATGGGGCCTGTCTATTTCCAGTAGGAGTATCGACACCGGTGCTCAAAGCAAGGGATCCAGAAGGATCGCCCCTCTGGGATTTTGGAACGTTTGATCATGGACATTGGGCATCCAAGGATTAAGATTCTGACGTTGAATTCGATCCAATTTTTGCAAAACAGTTGAGGTGTGTACAAAATCGGCTCGCTGTTTATATTTCTTACGCTCTCTTTGTAGTACATTGTTTTCAAGGGGTTCTATATGAATATAAGAAACCTCGATTAATAAATGAAACTTAACAATTACACGTCGTCTTTATTGCGTGCGATGGAATTTGTGTACGTGGGAATAGCTTCAATTCATAATACCTATTGTATTAATTAATTCATGCATTAGCGTTATGTCCCATGACGTCAATCTTTCTATAATTTGCTTCCAAACCCTTTTTCAGCCATCCAGCCTTCATATCAGCTTCTCGTAACCAGAATCATATATGATACATACATAGGTACTTAGTATCTATCGAGGACTCAATATATCATTCCATCCATTCCACCCTTCAAAGTTCAAGATTCATTCCCAAAGACAAGTCGTCCCAATAAACCCACCCACCCCACTCACCATTTTCCCCAGCTGAAAAATATGGAGAAGTCACATGCCACCTATCTCTCTCCACAAGATCTCTTGAAAAGTTATCAACCCGCTGAAGTACCTTTCTCCGTACTATCAGAAGAGGAGATTGGCGAGCGGGAAAACGATGCATTGCTCATTCCGATCGATGTCCCAGATTTATCTGGAGAAATGTATTCCGCGCCTTTGGAATTAGAGGAGGAAATAATTGAGCCGGAAGAAGAAATCTCAATCATCCCAATCAACATCCCAGAAGCATCATCAATATCCTACTCCGCACCCCTAGAAGAAGCCCCAACCGAGGAACCAAACTCACCCCACAAAATCCGACTCAACGCGCCCGCCTCCTCACCCAAATCCCACACTCCCTACTCCATCCGCTACGAACTCCCCTCCCCCCGCTCCACAATCATCACCCAGAAAGACATCGGATTCCTCTCCGACGCCGGAGTCCGCGGTTCCGTATCCACCGTCTGCCACGGAACATTCCACTCCCAACCCGCTACCCTCATCCTCTTTACATTTATCTTCCGCTCAGGCGACCATGGATTCCGCTTCAAAAACGCAAGTGTAAAGATTAATTTCTCCTCTTACTCTCCCCCCTCCTCCTCCCCCCCCAAACACCCACCCAGACCCCCTCCATCCGTGCGCTCGCCCCCCGCAAAATCTACGGCCTCCCCAGCACCACCCACCAAACACGCAAACTCACAGGGGAAATCTCCCTCCATGTTCCCCTCGGCGCAACATCCCTCGGTCCCTCCACCTCCCTCTCCCACGAATCCTCTTTCGCGCTTACGCATCGCTACGCGCTCGTGGGAAATCTCTGGTCGCGTCCTCGTTCTTCCACGTGGGATGCAGCGTACTGGGATTTGCGCGAGAATAAGCTGACGAAGGGCGGGATTCCGGATCGGGTGGATGTGGGGGTGGTGGTTTGTAGAGAGGGAGGGGGGTTGATGGGGAGGTAAGGGTGGAGGTTGATACGCCGGTGATGAGAGGCGTGTGGGGGTGGCCGTGGGGAAGGGGGAGTCCGGTGGTTTTTGTGGAGGGGGTGGAGACGGGGGGGGAGAGGGTGCGCACGAGGAGGTTTGAGGAGTTGGGGGCGGAGGATTGGAGGGGCTTGGTGGGGTGGGAGGGGGAGTGGGTGGATGTTGTTGTGGGGGGGATGGAGGGGGGAGAGAGAGGGGGGGAGAGTAGAAAGGGGAGAGTAGAAAGGGGGAGGAGAAGGTTTTGAAGCTGTGTGTAGGTAAATATCACGAGAACAGGATCCAAGAACGAAACACAAGATCAATAAACACAACCAATCCAATCACACCTATCCTTACTTACCCACTTCCATTCGATCCCGTATATATCAACCCACGAACCAATTTCCACCTCCATCTCAAATGCCAACTCCATATCCCAAATAATCTAAGCTGAAAGATAAAAATCGCACGTTATATTTAACTTGTAGAAGTTTCTTATTCCCTGAAGTTTGAACAGGTATCTAGACTAAATACAACATCTACCCAAGCATAATCACACACAAGCCTACAGATATTTTCAATTTTTCATTATCATAAATGCTATATCCGTATACTACCTAGTATATATACGATATTATCAAATCAAATCAAATCCCAACATAAATCATAAGTCCCCAAGTAACCGCACTCAGCCCGCGATACGGCCATAAACCTCGGCGTCAGTTATATCCATGAGCGCCGGAGCCCAAGATGAGCTTTTTGATTTTGGGGAAATACTATTATGGTATTGTATTAGTATAATTTCACATTTCTAACAACAAATCGACGGAAGAGAAAAAGGAGAGGAAAATTAAAAAAGACATAAACTTACAGGAGTACCGAAACCGGTCGCCGCGTCCCAGCCAGTTGTTGCAGGGAATCCATTAGTACCGCATCCACTTGCAGATCCAATTGTGACATCTGTGAATGCTTTATATCCCTTTTTATACAACCATGGGTTCAACCATCCCAGTGTTGGTTTTCCCGCTGCAATCAACGCATCGTTGATTAAAGCGAGAATTGCCGAAGCAGTAGGAGTAGCAGCCGAAGTTCCATCGAGATGAACAGTAGTACCGTTCCAAACCGTGATGTAAGCGTATCCTTGGGCAGCGATATCTGGGAAGGCACGACCGGTCGCGTTGAAGAAGCTTGTGATATTCTTAGGCAGAGAGGCGAGATATGGTTTTACAGCCGCATCTTGCCAAGAAGGACGAGGGAAGTAGCGGGAAAATCCACCGCCGGAGACATATCCATTGCGGGCATCGGTAGCTACGACTTCTGGGTTGATGAATTTGGTTCCACCGACTGATGTAACGTAAGGACAAGTAGAAGGAAACATAGCGAGGAAAGTAGTGCTGTTGTCCACATTCGAAATACATGTACCATCTGCTCCGACACCGTTATCTCCAGATCCGAAAAGAACGGAAACACCTCTAGCTCCCAATTGGGCAAAGCCTTTGCAGACGGAAACGGCGTAAGAGTAGGGAACACTTTGTTCAGTATCTTGATATGAGTTGCTGACAACTCCTGGAAGATTCTTTTGACTGAGCACATATTGTAACCACACAAGGTAAGGTTCATTAGTATCAGTAGGTGTTTGCTCATCTGGGGTAAAAGGAGGGGAACCTCCGGTTGTGTAAGCAATCAATGGAGTTGGATAACCAATTCCCAACATAGTTTCCGAATCCAAATTGCCCTCAAGATCTTTGCCAGCTTTGAGTTCTGTGGCATTTTCTTGTCCTTGATCGTTATTACCCCCATTAATGACTTGAACATCAAAACTGTACGCTGCTGATGCTGCTTCGGGTCTGTATTGTTCAAGGAAGAGTTTGGTATCAGATCGATTGTTAGATTCACCGAGGTAGTTTGTAAGAGCCATCTTGTTTTTGCCAGCTGCTTGAACCTTGTAGTCCACGGTACCGTAAAGAGTTCGAAGACAAAGTGGGGTTACGGAGGAGACGTTGCATACATCTGCCGCAGTTTGTCCAACGGTAGGAGGTTTGTAGTTTGATGGTGCTAATGCTTGATATTCTGCGGCTTCACTGATTTTCTTCATGGTCTTTGCTACAGGGTGTGGTTTGAAGAAAGAATTGGTGGGTTGAATTGTCTCGATGTGATCGTGGAGATGAAGAGGTAAAGACCATTCCGGAGTGCGAACGATGTATTCTCCATCTTCATGTTGATATGTTGAATATTCCGTGTCGAGGAGAGTTTCAATATCCTCAATGGAGATGGTCACTTTAATCCAGTCTTTCGCTGGACTGTATTCGAGAGAGGCCGGTTCAATGTTGTTGTCTTGAAGCCATTCATGAACGAGATTGTGAGTTTCATCAGAAGGCTTAACAAGATCATTCACCTCATCAGCACTAAGATGTTGACCATAACGGTGGTGATCGGGATCAGAGACTATGAATTTATTAGTTAATTTTCAATCTCAATTGCTTACTCCCTTGGCTTTCGAAAAAGGATTCATACCTTCATAAAGATGACGTTCCAATTCATCGAATTGACCTTGCTTCAAACCAATTTGAAGATTGATCATGTGGTTTGAACGAGCAGGTCCCACTCTTTGCCATTGAGGTGGTGGATAATGAGTTTCCTTCACCGCATATGGAGTACGAGCTTTGATGGGAGAGCTCGATACCAATCCGACAGCCAGAAATGCCGCGAAGGTAGCAATTGAAGTGACCATGATTGCTAATTGATTGCAGTTGATGGAGGTGAAGAGAAAAAGCCAACTACTTTCGAAGAGGAGGTGGGAACGAGGGGTATACATATATTTATTCCCAATCGAATACTCCATCTACCTAGGTAGCTTTTAGCTTTGTATTCACCAGAGTAGCTCAAGGGTAGTAGCTCATATCCAGAACAGGCAAAACGAGTAACATTCACCCCATGTCCCCATGTCCTCCCACACCTTATCAATTGAAAATGCATATCGGCTCGTGTAGCGAGGTTTTGGCAACGATCAACCTTCCTTTTGTAGTATCGTGTGAAGGTAAGGTACCATGGATAAATGGAGTGGCGATACATTTCTCCATCTTTTCCAATCTTGATATGGAAGGTCGACAATTGATGGTGCGGTGTAAGCTACGACATTACGATACTTGGATGAAGGATAGCAAAGTATTAAGAGCTTCAGTTTCCATATGTCATATATCATACATTTCCATACATTTCCACGACCAAGGATTGAATTGGTGAATGAAATTACAACGGAGACCTCGGGAGTGGTTTGTATAATCAATGTGGTGTCGCTGATGGTTAATCCATTCGGGTCATCTCCGCTCCAGTAGATAAGAAAGAAGCTTTGCATGGGTGATGGAATTGCTCGGCCGGCTTGGAACCAACCACCATCAATCAACAATACCTACGATGTACTATCTACCTAGCAAGTTCAAACGACAATCTAATCGTCGTCTTGAGGATAATATATCTTCATATCCGTCAAAGGTATAGGATATCTCTCGAGCTGCCAATCAGACTACAACACAGCTCAATGTTGAAAATGTCTTTGTCTCATGCGGCATCTTGGCGCTTACGCCCGATTGAAAGCTTTGTATATTGCTGCACAACTTCATTGTTTGAACTTTATTGTTTAAACATGATCAGAATTAACATCGCAGATAACTAAATACCATCCAGAACTTCCACACCTCCGAACAGCCAATTCAACTCCTCTCAAACCACCACCTCTCAAACCACCACCTCTCAAACCACCACCTCCCAAACCACCACCTCTCCCCAACCACCCACCATGACCTTCTCCCTCACCCTCACCCCCTCCTCCACCTCCTCCCCACCCTCTTCGGAACAATCTTCATCCTCTTCGGCCTCAACGCCATGCTCCGCCCCCTCCACGCCCTCACATTCTACCCCTCCCTCCACCACTCCCTATCCCCCTCCCTCCCACAAACCCCCTCCAACACCATCCTCCTCGAATCCCTCCTAACCATCTACGGCGCACGCGACATCTTCATGGGCCTCGCCATGTACGCCGCATCCTACCATCGCAATTACAAAACACTAGGCTGGATCGTGGTTGCGGGGAGTGGTGTTGCGTTTGTGGATGGGTGGGTGTGTTGGAGGGCTGGAGGGGGACAGGGCGATCATTGGGGGTATGCGCCTGTACATGCGGTTGTGGGGGTTTTGCTGGTGTTGGGGTATTGAGGATGATATAAGGTGTTGAGTTGCTTCACGGATTGGGATTGTTCATTCAATCTTTTGGAATGTCCAAATGGTTTGATTGTTTCGAATCGATTGGACATTCTAGATCTTTCAAAGATTGTTCTAAATGAATTCAAAATTTAGGGTCAAAAATAATCGCCATGTCGTTGATTCAATTGTCAAATGTGAAGATTCAGCTTCCATGTTTTGATTTTTACACGGCAAAGCAAATTCTCGCATCAAATCACATATGAGTTGTCACTCTTTTTAAACCCCTTCGATTTAATCTACACCGATCTTAGAGACGGTGTAAAAATGTCACTTCAATGTTTAGTACATTCTCCTTTCCAAACGTATGACGAATTCATGAATCTTCTGATTCCGTTCCAAAGCTTTCAAACTCTCCCACTATACCGCTGCGCTCCCACCACCGCACTGGCTTCCACGACAACATCAAAAAACCCTCCTCCGCCGCTGATACCCGCGCTTTCTCCTTGCTAGTCCCTTCCACCATGAATTTAAAAATCCTATAGGGTAGAGCTGCATTGACTCCATACAAAGGAGCAACCTCTATCATCTACATCATCATGGCAGATAACGCAACTCCAGCGCATGGAACTATATCCTAGAGAGCCATCTCTACCATCTAAACAATAATGACAAAGGAAGCAAGAGCATCTAACGAACATCGTGAAGATCTAGAACCATCTAGGAGAACTATTGCCAAGGCGTATTGACAGTGGAATGAGACATCATTCGATAGTAAGTCCAAAGAGGTAGGTAGTGACTCAACATTCCAATCTCCTAGCGAATTTCAAACCCGCCATTGTCCATACATTGTCATACAGGTGTAAGGTTTGACTGACCACCGTCTTTTGGCGAGAATATTGGCCAAGGGATTGGAAATTTGGTCTTTCTGCCAATACTCCGAAACAAGTTGCTTGATAGAAAATGGACGAAACCGGGTGGGTGTGAACAATAGAGAGATAATTTCTCATGTACTTCGAGTTTCAAGTATCTATTTTCGCTGGCCACACCAGTAGATCAAGGTATCTCCTCCTACACTCAAGTCATGTTGAAGAGTCGATCTTTCGCGTTCCTTTTTTGCCAAATTTGTCTCGTTTTTCAATTCTTGCAAGTGCATCCCGGTACTTGCAGTCTGGAATATAATATTGAATATAATATTCCATATCTTGCATTGTTCCTTTTGTCTGAGAAGATAAATCTGTACTCGGAATTCCTTCCTCCCCTGTTTCTTCCTGTGCCGCTTCTCTCTGCAAAGTAACATGTATAGACGAAGATTCTCCGACCCGCAAAGTTGTACCCGTAGGTGAAGGTCTTGCTCTTCCAGTTTCTTCCTCTAATTGTTGTTCCAAGGTTTGGATTTCGGCTTTTCTTCTATCAATTAAACCCCTGACATACTGGCAACGGGATGCCGAACTCATGTTCTCGGGTAATCCGTAAGGAGGAGGCCTGTCATTCTTAATTTCTTTTCCCTTGATGGATGGTTTTTGTTGACTAGGAAGTCCCAAACTCGGACGTGATGATTGAGTGGAGGAGTAGGGTGGAAGATTATCATTCCTCGGATCATGCCTCAGTAGATTGAGGAGACAACGTGTTCTCTCTGGGCTGTTGACGTATGTGTCGCGTTTTTTTTGGAGACTGTTGTGTATTTGTCTTCGTTTCGTCATTGCGATTGGGTTGGGCTTCCTTCTCGGCATCGTTGACATTATGCCTCATTAGATTGAGGAGACAACGTTGTCTCTCTAGACTGTCGATGGATCTATTGCGTTCTCTTGGAGACTGGTATGTGTTGTCTTCGTTTCGTCATTGCGATTGGATTGGGCTTCCTTCTCGGTATCGTTGACCTTTTGATAAATCGTGCCTTCTTGTTTATCCGGACTTAAGACACGAGATAATTTGGATCGTAGTTTTGAAAACATGATGGCTTCTATGCTCTTGTTATGCACCAGAGATCCCTGGAGTGGATGAGATGTAAGATGGAGATGGAATAAATGGACAAATGAAATGAGAATTGAGACAGTTGGTTGGAATGATGATTGAGTGATGGAAAGAAGAAAAAGAAAAGGAAAAGGGAAGAGATGAAAAGAGGAAAAATCATCCTACTACTTAAAGTTGACTACCAGGTAACTAGCCAGAACTAGCCCTACAACTGACATCAAGACTTCTGGACTTTGTGGGGTACATGACCGATGAATTCCCGGTATCCGGCATCCGGTAGTCATCCTCATATTTTCGAATCGACTTATCGAAACAAGATTCTGCATCTAGAGAATCCTTGATTAGGAATCTATAATAACCCAAGTGGAACTGTTAGTATTATATTTTCGATAACTAGAAATATAGAATATTGATATAAAAGAAACTATATTCCAGAAAAAGCATTATTATTTAAACAGGAAAGCATGTCACGGTGTGAGCTCACGTGATATGCTGGTCCTATCGGAGAGGACCGAAAGGAGCGCTCGCATTGGAGCACAAGCGAGCTAGGACCCGATCGGGCTAGTTCGCTATGAAAATTCCGTATATCTTTAATTTAGAAGATCCTATATTGTAGCTCTTTAAGCTATGTCTTAATCCTCAATCTGAACCTATTATTCGAATTAGTATAACCTTACCAGATTAGGGCAAAGTTATTAGAACCCTATTTTGCCTGCCTGCCCTGTAATACTATGTAGCTTTTATCTATTAAAATATTGCTTTTACAATAACTACTCTGCACCCACCTGGCTGGTCTGGGGACTCCTCGGAATTTAGTGTTTTTGTATCAAAGAACCCTTAGGTTTGATATCAATATCTCCAATCGGTATTTGTATATTATACTGAGCTGAAGGAGATTAATAGATTGCTTAAATACAAAATTTCCGAATTCCTAGTTTGCAAATGTATTCAAGCCGTTCTGTACAAGCAGGTTGCTATTCAAAATGCTTATCTACTTGATTGTCTTACCGAATCTATATCTATTATATCTACTCGTTTGAAAACCATATTCCTTAAAACTTTTGCTAACTCTATCCCCAAACTTATTATATCTATTCCAACTATTTAATTGAATAAGTATATCCTTGATCCGAAAGAGTTTGATAGTATTCGCTCTGATTTATGCAGATTTATTTAACAGATATATGGAAAATTGAATATGAATAATAATAGATTCCTAACAATTTTTGTTTATTTAACTTATACTATTGGAAAACTTATTGGAAAGGTATACAAACTTATATTACTTAAGATCTTCTATGGGATTTCTTAGTTCACCAATTATACTATACTCCTCGAATATCTCGAAAATGTTTTTAAGGATTTTAATCGAATATAAAATATACAGAATAAACTATATGTATTGAAGTAAAACATCTCGATTTTAGTATCTTTTTTGCGGAATTCTAAAGACTTGTTTTAGAAGGAGAGATGCCTGATGATGCTTTAACCCTGTTCCTATTTCAAGAAATCTCTTGTAAATTACAAGATATATTGTTGTATAACTTTGCTTTGACCTATGAATTTCGTTAATATGCTAATTATTTATAACAATTCAATAACCGATTCCGTTAATACTAACAACAAGTTCATCGTATTTGTCCTATCGCTTCCAAAACTTTATCCCAAAGAATAATTGCTGTTCTGCCTTTATAACTTGCTAGCCCGAAGTTTACTCCTGGAGATCCAATAGATCTGAGCTTAGGAAAAAGGAATATACTGTTAGGAACCTGGGCTTGCAGCAGGAATGCGGCGAATACTATTGTTGTGGCTCTGCCAGCCACCTGATATGAGACTATCCGCACCCCGATATTCGTTCTGTTCAACTTCGAGTTATCATTACTACAATCAGCTTTACGAGAATCAGCCTTGTACCGAACAATCCTCCAAAAGGCCAAGTCCCTATCTATTCCCTATTTTGCTTTCCTTTCTGCTTGCCGACCAGCTTAATCAGTTTGGGAAATGGGATACACCTAATCTAAATCGCGATTAGAATAATCCTCTGTATACCCTTTGTTTATCTACTACTGCTATTTATGGTCTTTTTTGGAAGATGAATTAAACAATCATACAGATCTAATGATTTTATCCATCATTTGTTTTTAGAAAAAGACACTTTCCTGATATACGCTATGATCGATAGTGAATACAAAGGAATTGCCTTCATAAATCAAAGTTAAATGTTTTTTTAAAAAATATCAATACACTAATTGTCTATGGCATTCGAAATTATAGGATTTAATGGAAATACTCTGTCTGATAATCAAATTACCTTTTATATCCGAATAGAATTCAGAATCAATGATTATATTGAAAAGAAGATTGTTTTGTTTGTAACCAAGCTAGCCCACTATTCTATTGTACTGGGGATAGTTTAGCTTAAGAAACACAACCCCCATATCAATTTCGTAACAAACTTGTTTTAGTTTGATAGCTTGTTTTACTATAAATTTTGTAATACTTCATCCCACCTGTTCTGCATAAAAGCTTTGCCAAATATTCCTCCAAAAGCCTGATCTGTATATTTGTCTGCTTGCCCTGAAGAATTAAAGAATAAGAATATAGCCACAATCTCTCTGAGAACCTGTTTGACTTATACCCACTGGAAATACGAAATATTCTAAATATCGATCAAACAAATCAATAATATTCTAAATAAAAAAAAGAAAATATTTAATTTCAAAAATCTATTATCCAAATTCCAAAATTAGAAAAATATCTTTTTCCTAAAGAATATAGAGAAGCTACTTTCTTATCAACCGTATAACTATAAGATCTATTTCAAAGAAAAAGCTATTTCTTTTTTTGATACCTTGTACTCTATATCCCATCCCGAATTAAAAATCCTGAAAGAATAGTTAAAAGAGAATCTTAGAAAAGGATTCATTGATCAAACTCTTTTTTATTATTTCCTTTATCTTATTTATCAAGAAGATTAATGAAAACCTTTGGTTTTGTATAGATTATTGTGGCTTTGAATAATTTATTGGTTAAAAATCAATATCCTTTATTATTAATAAAAGAATCTCTAAATAATTTAAAAGAAATAAAATATTTTAATAAAATCAATATTATCTTTGTCTTTAATAATATAAAAATAAAAAAAGGGTAGAAATACCTGACTATATTCCGTATCCGATTTGGACTATTCGAATCCTTAATTATACCATTCAGACTAATAGAGGCTCCCATAACTTTCCAAAAATTTATTAATAATTCTTTACAAAAATATCTGAATGTATTTTGCATTACTTACCTAAACGATATTCTGATATACAACCAAACTCAAGAGGAATATATCCGCTATATCCAGAAGGTTCTATAAGCACTAAGGGAAGTTGGCTTGTTTACTAAATTCGAAAAGTATGAATTTCTGAAATCTGAAATCAAGTTTTAGGCCTTATTATAGGAAGCAATGATATTTGAATGAATCTAGAGAAAATCCGAACAATTATGGATTGGAAACCGTCTATTGTGACGATTCAGTCCCTTTCAGGTTCCTTTCTCAGTCACTTAGCTTCTAGGACCTTAGCCTAGCACGTGACTCATTGGTATATATAGTCCGGAGCCCTTACAGTTCTCTTCTTATTCTTTTCTTCCTTCTTTAGTTTTAGATTCTAAGGTAGAATTGAATCCTTTTATGACAGTCCTTCACATCTATTAGCATAACCAATATTTAAATATTTATTAGATTTTCAAACTTTTATTGATAATTTATTAGAGATTTTTCGAAGATCATTAACCCGATGGTAAATCTAACCAGAAAGAATATTTCATTCCTGTGAAGCCCTGTCTGTCAAGAAGCGTTTAATCAATTGAAGTGAGCGTTTACCGAAGTACCTATCCTAGCTTTCTTCAATTAGAAAAAGGAAGTGATTATAGAAACCAATATCTCTAATTATATATCTGCCGGAGTACTCTCCCAATATAACAATAATAAAATACTTAGACCTATTATATTCTTCTCTAAAAAACACTTAACAATTGAATATAATTATAAGATTTATGATAAAGAACTGCTAACTATTATTTATTACTTTGAAGAATAATATTCCGAATTGAAAAGTGCCGTATTATCAATTCAAATAATCACTGATTATAAGAATCTGGAATACTTTATTATAATAAAGTTATTGAATTATCATCAAGTCTATTAATTCAAATTTCTATTTCGATTTAATTTTTAAATCATTTATTATTTTAAAAAACTAAATGCCAAATCCAATATGCTGACTAGGAAATTAGAAGATCTTTCTAAAAAGAAGAATAAATATTTTTTGTACTAAAGCTATACTATCCTAAAATAAGAGAATCTAGATCCGATCTGTTTTCTATTATTATTACCCTAATCAAATCCAAAATTATCAAAAAAGTACACTTCGTTATAACCATCTATAACTAGAGAAACTCCGATTTTACTAATATTACCAATTACTTAGATTCCGATAATACTATAACTTTACTAAAAAATAATAAAGTTATAGAATCTGCAATCCCACATGCTATATCTATACCCAACCCTGCAATATAACTAAAGAATCTAAAAAACCCTCTAAACCTTTTTGCCAATTTGCTTACCCTATTTTATAAAGGCTATCAAGTTGATTCTATACCCGAATCTATTTTGAAATCCCTACAAAAGAGATTCCCGAAATATTCGAAAATCACTCTTGCTGAGTATATCGAAAAC